TGGAGGGTCGACGAAAGAGGGGGAGGCCTTCAACGAGATGGATTGACACTGTGGCTGCGATGATAGGCTCAAGTATAGCAGGGATCGTGTAGCTGGTGCGTGATCGGGCATTGTTTCATTCTGCTGTGCATGGGGTCGCTATGAGTCAGAAACGACTTGATGGCACCTAACAACAACAACATAGGCTTTGGTATGATGTATCTATATTCTCATTTGTTTCTAGGAATTTTTTTATTTCACTTTTTATTTGCTTTGACTTCTTCCTTCAGTACCATTGGTTCTAGATCATATGCCACTTCCTGAAATGGATGAAGATCGACCAGTTATTTTTGGTACAGTGACTCTGTGTATTCCTGCCATCTTCTCTTGATGTTTCCTGCATCATTCAGTATTTTGTCCATAGAATCTCTCAATATTGCAACTCGAGGCTTAAGTTTTTTCTTCAATTTTTCATCTTGAGTTGTTTTTGAGCAGTGAATTGTTCACCTTCCACATGTTTGATGTTTTTTTCCTTGAACTTCCTATTATTAATTTCTAATTTTATAGCATTGTGGTCCAAGAAGATGCTTTGTAGTATTTCAACGCTTTTGAATTTATTGAGGCTTGTTTTACATCCTAACATATGATCTATTCTGGAGAATGATCCATGTGCATTGAAGAAGAAAGTGAATTGTCCTTTTGTTGAGTGGGATGCTCTGTATGTGTCTATGAGGTTGAGTCCATTGTTGAGTTCTTCTGAATCTTCAGTTTTTTTCCAGTTGACCTGTCCCTCTTTGAAAGTGGTGTGTTAAAGTGTCCTACTAATATTGTAGAGTTGTCCATTGTCCCTTTTAATGCCATTAATATTTGCTTCATGTATTTTGGAGCACTTTCCTTGGATGCATAAATATTTATTATTGTAACATTGTCTTTGTCAATTGACCCTTCCTGCATCATATAGCGTCCTTCTTTGTCTCTTATGTTGTTTTTCATCTTAAAGTCTATTTTATCAGAAATTAATATTGCCACTCCTGCTGTTTTTTTATTACTGTTGGCTTGGTACATTTTTTTTTCCCACCCCTTAACTCTGAATTTGTTTTTATCTTTGTGTTTAAGGTGGGTCTCTTGTAGGCAGCATATTGAAGGGTGTTCTTTTCTTATCCAGTCTGCCACTCTTTCTCTTGATTGGTGCATTTAGTCCATTCACATTGAGTGTAATTAGCGTTAGGAATTGATTGCTGTCATTCTATTGTGTTTTTTTTGTTGTTGTTGTTGTTGTTGTTGTGTTGTTGGTGTTTCCTCGGTCCATATATTTTTCTGTGCTGAGTTCAATTTATTGTCAAATGCTTCCTCTTTCTTCTTCTTTATTGTTGGTTTTGTGCTTATTAAACCCATATGTTTTCCTTCCTTCTGGATTTGCTTAGAGAGATTGTTAATTTTTTCTGTGGTTACCTTGGAGTAAATTCTTGTCTCTACATTTTTAGAACAGTGTGTTCTATGGGGCATTGTCCTGTTTTCCTCTCTATTTGGAAGTTTGTACTTAGAACTTTTATTTCCTCTATTAGGTTACTGTTGTTGTGTGCAGATTGGCTTCCTTGATTCTTAGTGTACAATGTTTTATGGTCTTATTTTGAGTTTCTATTTCTGACTTGGTTTTAGTGTTGATGTCATGTATCCTGATTTTGTTGATCTATGTTGTGTGTTCTCTATTGGAAGGACTTCCTTAAGCATTTCTTGTAGGGGTGGTCTGATTTTCACAAAATCCCCTAATTTCTGTTTGTCTGAGAATACCTTGATTTTGCCCTCATATATGATGGACAATTTGACTGGATTTTTGGTTGGAAGTTCTTTTCCTTCAGTGTTTTATATATGCCATCCCATTGCCTTCTTGCCTTCAGGGTTTCTGCTGAGTAATTGGAGCTCAACCTAACTGTTTGATTATTATAAATAATATTTCTTTTGTCCCAGGCAGCTCACAAAATTCTTTCTTTGTCTTTGGTTTTGGAGAGTTTGATTATAATATGCCTCAGTGTTTTTCTCTTGGGCTCTATTCTATATGGGGTTCTATGAACTTCTTGGACAGATATCTCTTCTCCCTTCAAGATATCGGGGAAGTTTTTGGTTAGTAGGTCTTCCACAGTTTTCCCAGTTGTTTTCTTCACCTCTTCTTGTTCTGGAATTCCAATGAGGCATATGTTGTTTCTTTTCATGTCATCCCATATAACTCTTAGGTTCTCTTCATTTCTCTTAAATCTTTGTTCTGATTTTTCTTCATACAGGCTGGTGTCCAGGGATATGTCTTCTAGTTGGGAAATGCATTCTTCATCTAGTTCTATCCTACTCTTGTGCTTCTGCTGTGTTGTGTAATTCTGTAATTTTGGTATTCATCTTCTGGATTTCTAACTGATGTTTTTGTATGAGTTCCAATTGTGCATTAATCTTGTTATTTTGTTCTTGAATGATTTTCCTGAGTTATTCCAGGGAACTGTCTGTGTTCTCTTGCTTCTTTGGGATTTCCTTAATCTCTTGTAGATCTCTATAAACATACCTTCTAAATTCCTTCTCAGATAATTCTATTGCCTCCTCTTCCTCCATGTTTAATGAGACCTTTGGAGTTTTATTTCTAATGCCTTGTCCTTTCTTTTCTTTTCTTTTCTTTTTTTTTGAGGTTGCCTGTTGTTTCCTAGACATTTTGAGGTTGTCTTTAACTATTAGTCATGTATTGATTTGTTTTGTCTTGGTTTTATGGTTTAATATTTTGAAAAGGTGGAGCTGGTTTATTTTAATTTTTTGGCTATTAATTCAGGTTTGCTGGGTTGCTCTCCAGTTTTTGTTTTGTTTTGTTTGTGATGAGGAATTGCTGTGTGGAATGTGGATACATGTCTCTGTTTGTCATAAAAAGAGTTTAGGATTGAGCTGGCAGGTATTATGGTGGTTCAATGTGGTTTTTCTATTGGATGAGGGAGGTAGAGGTGGAGAAAGTGGGAGGAGAAGAGAGAACAAAGAAAAACTCCAAGGTGCCAGGAGCAGTTTCTAGGGCATTGAGCGGACAGCTAATGACGACATTGTACAGCTATTCACAGGCCCACAGCTCAAGTTTAGCAAAGACTCCAATTGTTAGGAGGCTGCCACTTTCTGCCAGGATTAGACACTTGCAAAAACCCTACTCTCAAGGCCCCTCCATGCCAAAAAGCTGACCTAAGATAACTGCCCCATTCCACGATCCACTGTAGTCCACTGCAGGAGTTCCTCCCAGGGCCCACCCACTTGCGGCATTAATGTTCTCACTGCTTGGGCTTCAGCAGTGTCAGAACCAGAGAAATGTCTGCTTGCACCCAGCAGTCCCAAGTTTACTGATAAAATCAGGTGCTGGCCCCTCTGTGCCAAAAAGCTGACCTAGGAAAACTGCTCCAATCCACGATCCACGGTGGGAGATACTCTCAGGGTCCGCCCACCTGCAGTGTTAATGTTCTCCTGATCGTGGGCTTTGGAGGTACTGGAGCCAGAGAAATCTCTGTTCTCGTGTAGCAGTCTCAAGTTGAAGTCTCAAGCTGAAGGTAGATCCGTGGAGTGGCTGCCAGTTCTCTGGTACAGTGTGTTCTCTCCAAGGAGGACTCCGATGGCCTTTCTCGCCTGCCAGTCAGAGCTCCGCAGGGCAAGTTTCCCTGTTTCTGTTATTTTTCCCCTGTCCTTTTCTCCTTTCTAATCCTACTCCCCTGAGTTTGGCTTACTCTGACTTAAGGAGCTGTTCAGAGCCGTAGAATCCCTATTTCAAACTGCTGCACCTAGTGTTTCAGGCACTGAGATGTTAGAGGGAATTAACTTGGGGACTACTAAAGAGATGCCATTTTCCAGCCTACTCAGGAATCTCTATCACTATTTTAAAATAAGCAATTTATATTTGCATAAAGGGCTATCTTTAACTTACATTGATTAAGATAAATATAAACATATTTATATTTATAAAAGTATATCCAAATAGTTCCTTTATATTTATATTATTTTATTAGTGAATGAAGTATTATTTGACATATGGACAAGTTTTATCTCTATTTAAATAAAAATTTAAATTAATGTGAGAATTAATTCCTTTGAATTCTCTCAATTTGTCTTAATCAAATTAATAAAACTGGTGCTATGTGAGAAGAAAAATTAACTCTTCTTTGTGAAAATAAAATGCAATATTATAGAGAAAGTATGTAAAATATAAGTGTTCAATACTATACACTTGAAATAGGAAGCAGATCAATTCACTAAAAGTCAATTCATCAAAAGTCAATATTCTGAATATCAGTTCACAAGACAACCAATCACCCAGTGAACAATGAAGCAGTGACTAAAGACATTGAAATACAATCTGACATAATTACTCACAATAACTCATTTATTTAAATAACACTGAATCAAAATGATCCCCATACTTTATTGTTGATATGTTTTAAGCATATATCCCATTCCAGCCTATGGTGGTTAAAACTTCTTATAATATGGTATTACCTCATCACTAAGTTTGTTGTTGAAGGTCCCAAATATCAAGTTGAAGAGGTTTATCTTAATTTTATTCACCACTAGAAAACTAATAAGAACATATCTGGTAGCCTGACTATAACAACATTTCAGGATTATGTTAAGAGATTTCCTAAGAAAGATATACTGTACTTTTGCCACTTCTAAAAATAAACTTTTGTGGATGCAATAAAAAATATATTTACTTTATAGTAACTCCAGAGTATCATAAGGTATCTACTTTTGTTATGCTTATTACTCATAATAAGAAAAATTATAAAAATATCTACAATAATAAAAATTAACTCACTTCTGAGGGAAAGGAGCAGATATCATTATATGACAAATTAAGATAAATCAATTGGAAAGCCAAAGGTGTTAAATCTGGACAAGTAAAGATAAAAAAGCCCTGAAAGAAATTGACAAGGAATAAGATGTTAATTTTAATATGCAAAACATTTGTACAAGAGTGAAAAAAAAAGCACATAATCTGAATAACAGTGCTGGATATAATAGGTCTTTGTTTATCTCCTACTCATTACTTGTAATATATCCTTAAATATATCAATGTTGGAAACAAATAGAAATACAGATAAGTATTTATTGATATGATAAGCATTATGTTACATGTGTGATAGGTGTTATTTCAATTAATAATAAGCAAACATTTATTGAATACTTACTACATGTTCTTGTTGTTATGTGCCGTCGACTCGGACCTGACTCATAGCAACCCCTCCTCGGGTTTCCGAGGCAGTATCACTACGAAAGTAGATTGCCCCATCTTCTTTCCAAGGAGTGGCTGGCGGGTTTGAACTGCCAGCCTTCTGATTAGCAGTTAAATGCCTTAGGCACTATGCTACCAGAGCTCACAGTTAACAACATGGTGGAATATAAATAAATAAATAAATCTTTTACTCCCTGTTTGTTTTTTTATGTCTCTACCTCTATTTCTCTACAGCTATTAATTTATATATATATTTCTTGCTCACATATGACAATGTCAGATTTTCAGATTGAGGAAAATTTATTATGTCCAGTTCCTTCTGCCCGCCCCACCCCCCGTATCTATATATCTATAATGTTCCAGGGAAGTGAGAACCTTTGTTTCTTAAGTATTGTAAAATCAGTAGTAATCAACTGAGTGAACCAAAGGACTGTCATGCTACAGCATCAACCCTCAATAAGTAACAAAAAGAGGTATTACTACCAATACATTATGTTCTGATATGCCCTATATAAAAATTAAAAATTTCTTGGCTAAAAACCTCAGAATTGATAGTACAGGGTTAAAGACTGACCTTTTATGAAAGCATTAATATTTGTAAATGTCTATATGTTGGTAGTAGACAAAAAAGCTGCTCTTTTTTTTTTTTTTTTTTTTTTTGCTGTTAAACATTTTTCTCTTCTCTAAAGAACTAGGATACACTAAACTATGTAGCAGAAATTTGTTTGTCACACCTGCTAATCATGCCACTTAAGTGAACTCTGAAAATAAACACCTTTTCTTTTGCCTAGAAAGCTCTTCCACCATTATCCCCATCAATTATCTGTCACCATTATTTTACATCCTACTTTGGTGAGTTGTGCTTGTGGTCTTAAAAGCTTGCAAGGTGCAGCTATTGTTCTCTCTTCATCTGGAGAAAAGAAGAGTGAAGAAAACCAAAGATTCATGTAAACAATTAGTCCAAGGGACTAGTAGATACATGAACCTCAACCTCCAGACCCTGAGACCAGAAGAACTAAAAGATGCCCACCTACCACTGCCAACCACTTGCCAACGACCACAATACAAGATTCTGGATAGAGTGGGGGGAAAAATATGGAACAAAACTCAAAATAATTTAGGAATATCAGGCTTACTGGTCTGATAGAAACTTGTGGGAACCCCAAGACCATAACCCTTAGTCACCCTTCAAGCCTGGAACTGAAGTTACTGCCATGGCTTAACTTCAGTCAAACAATAGGCAGGACTCTAAGTTCACCTATAATAACACTAGGGAAATGTACACTCCTTAGAACAATCAACCATAAGAGATCAAAAGGGCAGCATTTGCTGTGGGATAAAGCTCAGACAGCAGGAAGGGATAGGAAAGAAGAATGGATGGAAACAATAAACACAATAAACACAAGGAAGAAGGGAAGAGTGCTGCTATACTGTGGGGATTGCAATCAATGTCATGAAACAAAATGTGTATGAACTGTTGAATGGAAAACCAATTTGCTCTATAAATTTTCATTCAAATCATAATAAAAAAATATTTTAAAAATTATTGTGTCTCTTCAGTCAGGTGTCTGCTTATAGTCAGCTGTCTACTCGTAAGTCATCCAACCAAAGGGGCTTTCCCTGACCAACCTATTGAAAATGGTAACTTCTCAACCCAGTGCCAGTCTCTGGTTCTCTGTCCCTTCAACTTGATTCATTTTCCTTTGTAGCTCGTATTACCACAGGACATACTAAAATGTATGTATGTGTGTGTGCATGTGTATGTATATGTATGCCCTCCCTCACCCCACTTAAGTATAAAAAAAAAAAAAAAAAAGCCAAACTCACTGCCATGGAGTCAGATCTGACTCACAGTGACCGCTCCTTGGATTTCAAGGCAGTATCTCTACGGAAGTAGATTGCCCAACCTTCCTTCTGAGGAGTGGCTGGTGGGTTTGAACTGTCAGCCTTCTGGTTAGCAGTCAAATGCCTTGACTCAAATGCACTACCATGAATTACACATTTTGTCTGTTTTGCTTACTGATACATTGTGGGATATATAGTTTACCCACTAGTATACAGTGTGTTCTTAATCAATATTAGCTTAAACAGTGAATATCTGAGAACTTTATATTGCCTCATGGAATCAATCCCAGCATCCTTTGTTGTGGACACACCATGAAGCCTACATACCTGTGGTACCCTAGATGTCTCTATTTCTGTCCCATCATCAGACCTATTTTCTGTGGGTTATTATTGAAGGGATACGGAGAACTAAATAGATGAATTACACTAATCACCTTTAATCATATATGCAGCAAGTCTGTATTATATTAATCAGTACTTTTGTTTTGTGTAAAAGTTTTGTTCATATAAATTATTTCTGTTTAATAACCTTCTGTGATAGGCCACGATTTATGATATTTAGTTCTTTTATGATGAAGGAAAAGAGTTGAAAAGAATATTTCAAAGGGCCACTTAAGAAGACAAGGCAAAGTACTATATAACAAGATGTGCAAAGATAGGGAGTTAGAAAACCAAAAGGAAAGAACAAAATTGGCATTTCTCAAGCTGAAAGAAATGAAGAGAAAAATCAAGCTTGTGTTGCAACACTAAAGTATACTATGGGTTTAAAATAACAACAACAACAAAAGATTCAGAAAGCAGCAAAGAAGACAGAAGAGATACAGAGAGCCACTGTCCCCAAAAAAGCTGGCCAACATTCAGTCATGTCAGAAGGTAGCAAATAATGAAGAATTACTGGTAATGAAAGGAGAAATACAAGCCACACTGAAGACATTAGGGGGAAAAAAAAAGACTCTTGGAATTAAGGGAATATCAATTGAGAAGCTTCAACAAAGAGTTGCAATGCTAGAAGCCAGGAAATTTGGAAAGCAGCTACCTTGCCAACAAAATGGAAGATATCCATATTATTCATGTACATTCCAAAGAATGGTTATCAAACAGAATGCAGAAATAATCTAATAATATCATTAATATCACATGTTAGCAAAACTTTTCTGAAGATATTTAAAAAGTGGCTGCAGTCATACATTGAAAGGGAACTGGAAACAAGTCACTTCAAGTCAAATTCAGAAAGGATGTAGAATGAGGGATATCACTGCTGATGTCAGATGGATCTTGGCTGAAAGCAGAGATCCAGAAAGATGTTTACCTGTTTTTTGTTTGTTTGCTTTGTTTTGTTTTTTATCAGCTACACAAAAACATTTGACTGTGTGAATCATAACAAATTATGGATAACATTGCAAGGAATGAGAATTCTAAAACACTTAATTATGCCCATGCGGAATTTGTACATGGATCAAGAGGCAGTTGTTCAAACAGAACAAAGAAATATTGCATCGTTTAATACTGGAAAATGTGTGTGACAGTGTTGCATCCTCTCATGATATTTGTTCTATCTTATACAGAGAAAATAATCTGAGAAACTGCTCTGTATGAAGAAGAATGCAGCACCAAGATTGGAAAAAGACTTATTAATAACCTAAGATGTGCAGATGACATAATTCTACTTGTTAAAAGTGAAGATGACTTGAAGCACTTACTGATGAAGATCAAAGACTATAGCCTTCACCATGGATTACACCTGGACGTAAAGAAAATGGAAACTTACAACTGGACCAATAAACAAAATCACGATAGATGGCAAAGAAACTGAAGTTGTAAAAGGTTTCATTTTTCTTAATGCAACAGTCAACACCCATGAAATCGGCAATCAAGAAATCAAACAATTTTTGCATTAGGAAAATGTGCTGCAAAAGACTTTTTCAAAGTGTTAAAAAGCAAAAATGTTATCTTGATGACTAAGGTGTGCCTGATCTAAGCCATGGTACTTTCAATTGCCTTGTATGCATGCAAACACTGGACAATAAAAAGTAATACTGAAGAATGGACACATTTGAATTATAGTGTTCGTTGAGAATACTGAATATATCATGGAATGCCAAAAGAATGAACAAATCTGGTTTCAAGGAAACACAGCCAGAAATCTTCTTGGAAGCAAGGATGGAGGTAATTCATCTCATTTACTTTGGACATGTTATCAAGAGGGATTGATCACTGGAGAATGACATTATGGTTGGCAAAACAGAGGGTGAGCAAAAAAGAGGAAGATCCTCAATGAGGTTGACACAGTGTCTGAACAATGGACTCAAATATAGAAATGATTGTGAGTATGCTTCAGGATTGGGCAATGTTGCATTTGTTATAAATAAGATCACTCTGAGTTGAAGCCAACTAGATGATATCTAAGAAAAACAGTAATAAATCTTTCATATCACCCTCACAAAGCTCAGGATTTTGCTTTGAAGACAAATGCTTTTAGAAATAATATTAATGGCAATGGAAATATACATTTTTCCAGACTAGCTTTGCCTACTCTTTAAAAGCTATTCCCTTCCTCCATTTATTTTCAATAAAAATAAAGTTTAATTAACACAATCATTCACATCATATCATAGTCGAGTAATTATGATAGAGACACTATGGCCCTCTTAGCCAAAACTTTTTGCTGTCTGGCCCTTTTAAGAAAAAGTTTGTCAACCTATGATTTAAACTTATTTACTCCAACACCAGATAATCTGATTCTTTTCCCTTCTATTAATGTTCATTTAGGTTATGTCAGACCAAAGCGATAACTAAAGACAAAAAGAAAATTGAATAACAACAATTCTTTAGGGAAT